TACACTTTCCCTGTGAGGCAACTCTGGTGTCCCTAAGATAGCTAGGAAGGGTAGCTATTGTTCAATTTGTAAATATTTATATTTAATAGCTTTAATTTATTTTTATTTCAGTTTAGTAATTTTTGTACCTCAATTTAAAGGGATAGGTCACCCAAAAATAAAAATTGAACTGTCATGAATTAATTAATTACTTTGTTTATCTTTGGAACACAAATTCAGATATTTTTAACGAAATCCGAGAGCTTTCCAACCCTGCATAGACAGCAACGCAACTGACAAGTTCAAGGCCCAAAAAGGTAGTAAGGACATCGTTAAAACTACGGTTAAAATTCAAGTTGAACCACTGATGTCACATGGACTATTTTATCAATGCCCTTAATACCTTTCTGGATCTTGAACATGAACTTATGAATGTGAAATTATTTTATTTCAGCTTTATTTCAAATAAAGATACAATTTTTAATAGTTTTAGTTAACAATGACAATACTGATTATAATCAGTTTATATAGATCTAACAGCTATTTTGATGCATAGTCTACATCATTTACTCACCTTCATGCCGTTCCAAACCTGTATGACTTTTGTTGAATATGAAAGATGATATTGTCAATGGGAACCAAAACAACATTGGACCCCATTGACTTCCATAGTACACACACACAAAACATTATTTTTCAAATATCTTATTTTGTGCTCCACAGAAGGAAGTCATACAGGTTTGGAATGGCATGGGGATGAGTAAATCATGACTGAATCATATCTAAAAAGTTCTGGTCAAAGGTTAACGTGATGTAAAGTTCAGTAAAACCATCAGCTGGGACTCAAGCGCTATAAATGTAGCACCAAGCACATTGTCCAGATTTGTATCAGCGAAACAAAGCATACACTTTCCCTGTGAGGCAAGACCATGCGCACTGTACTGGGTGACCTAATTTTTAAGCACAAAAGATCCTGCGAGAGTGGCGAGCTCGTGAGCAGACAAGAGGAAAATAGCTTTGCCCATGGGTAGCAGCAAGGGAAAAAAGCATTAAAGATACTTCACATGGAGAGACACAGGAAAGCTTGAGAGGGCCGCTGTACAGTTTCTGAGTCGAGAGAGTGTCTCAAATGCCAAACGCCTACACAGCGATGTAAACACAGACATGGTCGCTCAAGACGACAGTCAATGGTGAGCGGTTTCCACAGCGCAACCAAACCGAACAGGACAGATCAAATTCTGACTAAACTTTCCATTCATAATACACAAGTCTGAAATTGTTTTCAGCATATCCTGAGCCATCTGATGCAATGACATCGAAAACAGTCAGGTGATGCTAAACAGTCACAGGTTAGCTGCAATCTAAACTGCTTTACATTAAAATATAGAGTAAAACCCCTCTCGGCTTCCCACAGTCAACTGAATACCTCACAAATCATGTCCAGACATGACTCAAGCTGCGCAGGTAAGATCATGTTGCATAACTAACATGCCTACAATCAGGGTATGTCATCTCACTCAACAGATCTGACACAAGCCCACAGTAGGAGCACACTGTCTGTGAGGAACAGCACTACTGCAGCATTCAGAGACTCCGCACACATCATATAGAGCGTCTAGAAACTAGAGCATCCGAAACAAAGAGCAGCATGAATCAGGCCAGCATTTCCGCAGAATTCTCTTTACAAGTTTTGAAAACATGTTCTAACACCCAAAGTAATTTACAGTTGCGACGAAAGAGAAGTAGTGACAGGTGTTTTCTTTTTTTTATTGTGATGCACAACTGAGTCTAACGAATTATTGAAAAACATAGGGCGGGGTCTTGGTTTTATGAATCTGTTGTCTGATTGGATTTTGAGATGTTGGCACTGCAATCAAAAATTTAATGAATGTGAGCTTGGAGGGGCGGGATTAATGATGTTAGAAGTCCTGCATATGTCATTAAAGGGGTCATATGATGCGATTTCAAGTTTTCCTTTCTCTTTGGAGTGTTACAAGCTCTTGGAGCATAAAGAAGATCTGTAAAGTTGCAAAGACTAAAGTCTCAAATCCATAGAGATATTCTTTATAAAAGTTAAGAGTCAGCCACGCCTACCTAAAACGGCTCGTTCTAACAAACCCCCACAAATCTACTTCAATATATGGAAATATTAGCATAATGCCGCCCAAATGTGCACGCAAAGAAAGAAGGCTTGGTTTCAGGAACAGCAGTAGTGTTGATGCAGCCATGTTAGTGAGACGCTGTGTATTTCACTGCGAAAGCAAAAGCACTTAATTTGGCCTTCCGGAAGTAGATGCAATTAGGAATCATTGGTTAAGATTTATTTACAACAGAACAGCACAACCCAGATGTTCGAATTTGTGCAACGCATTTTATGGACGACAGGTTTTTGAACCTAGAAGAGCACAAGGCTGGCTGTGCACAAATGCTATTTCTAAAATAAATAAAAAAATAGGGGTAAATTCCAACTTTGCTATGACAATCTGGCACTTCTGAATCAGCAACTGTACGTATGTTTTGTTACTAGTTTAAGTATTTGCTCTTGACTGTTCAAATGCGGAGTTTTGCGCAGCGCAGAGTAACGCGTTGTGTGTGTGTGTGTGTGTGTGTGTGTGTGAGAGAGGGGAACAGGGTCACATCACAGGAGAGCGAACTGCCTGTCAGAAATCATAGCACGTCAGCTGTCTAAACCGCGGCTTGTGTACTGCATCATCACTGTGTCTGTCACGCCACTCTGTTGCCCTTTCGGGCTTGAACTGATGGTAAAACTAACGACATTATTAACTGTCTTGATATTTACTTTGAAAGCGTGAAGCTCGCGATTATGGTAAGGGGCATTACATTTCCGACGTGTGCTTATGGTGTTCGGCCAATCACAATGCACTGGGTCAGCTGGCCAATCAGAGCATACTGCGCTTGTCAAAGGAGGGGGCTTTGTTGAAAACGACGTGTTTGAGAGAGGCGGGGCATAGAGGACCTACAATAATGTACAGTATTTGAAAAATAATGTGTTTTTTTAACATTAAAGCATGTCAACATATTCCGTTACACCAAATACACCAAATAATGATCTTTAAAATAGCATCATATGACCCCTTTAAAGACATGTTTTTTTATTTTTACCGGAAGATCCAGTTACGATTAAAAATTAGAAAATAACAAAAATATTAAAAATGAAACATATACATTGATAAAATCGTTTACAATTAGATCTACTGTATAACATGCATTCAGAAAATAGATTTGGCATGAATTTTCATTTCAGCTTAATTTAGCATCGTTATGTCAGGCATGAGGAACAAAGTGCAAACACTGCATACAGAATGTCACTACGGTCCATTCATTCCATTTATATGCATGTGAATGCCGGAGACAAGTTTCACTTTTTGCTGTGTTCCAAAGTTCAAGTTTTGTTAACTCTGACCAGTGAATTTGTATCATGTGAAGATGAGTGCTCAATAAAAGACTGATATGCCATAGCATGACCTCTTAGATAAATCAAATGAGTAAAAGCTGCAGGTGTGCATATATATAGTATATTGTATCTTTTTGCATTTGGGATGTATTATTAATTTTACGTTAAATTTTTATTTTTTTTTAAAGACACAGGAGAGCTTGATGTCATGTTACGAATGTTACGATGTCATAATTTTGCAAGCTCAAAGTCTAGTGTCACCACCCCTTAAGTCTTGCTAGAATCAGAATTTAACAATGTACTTTCTCTCGCCTCCTGACCCTCGTACTTTTCAAACATAAGCGAAATCCAGTCATTCCAGTTTGAATCTGGGCAACCAGGAGTTTCGCATGACGTCGAAAAAGTTCCCCAATGCAGGCTTCACACATTTTTAAGTTGGGTATGTGAATTTGTTGCGTTGACCAACAGAAAAGTGCTCGTCTTTAAAGTGACTTCTGTTGTGAGCTGTGCTTTATATATCTTTGCGCTATTGCCAAAAAACAATAGATTTTTTTTTACTGAAATGTGACCAAGTCTTGCCAGATTACAAATTTGAAATTGCATTTTATCTTGCCTCCTGGCACTCGTCCGTTAACTCCCAGTTTGATTCCAGCAGGTTTTTAAGGGCCAGTGATTTTCCTGTTGGTGGGAAAGGGGAACCAAGTACCCATCAAGCAGAGCATCTGAAAACCAAGGGACTCAGAATCCAGATCTCACTCAAGAGCCCAGCATCCACAGCATCCCAGTGCACACCACTCCGACCACGCAGCCAGAGAATGTATGTCCCAGAGAAATGATCTCAAACAGACCGAACAAAAGACAGACAGAAGCTGCAAATCCAACACAATACGTGCACATGTTTAACACCAAAACATCTTGATAGTATATAATTCTCATATAATGGCGGGGACCAGAAGTGAAGCTGTCTGCAATGCACACATTGCTATTTATTATAGGCCTCACACAGCATAGAGCATATCGGTCGGATGAATACCAGAGACAGTCTGTGTATCAGTGTAAAACATCCAGCTATAATTTCACTCAGACGGAAAATACGGTTGACGCAAAAAAAACAAAAAACGACAAACTGCTCACGGTATACAATGCGAAATTTGACAAACAAAATGACCATAATCACTTCGGTCGTGTCAGTCACGTTAGGGATAAAAATGAAGGACTAATGTTTATTGAATAGGTTGTTTCATGTATTGGATAAGGCAGAACTCCGGACGAATTATGTAACGTTAGTAATAATAATAATAATTTTTCCACCGCTATTATTTCATCAGATGCTCGAGGACTAACAAATAGTGCATCTTTGTGTTCAAAAATATTTTTCTCTAATATCTGACAATAAAACATCTCTACATGCGTCTAAAATAAACATATCTAATAATGTAATATTTATACTAATACTAAAACGGTTCGTGCATCTCTAAACTGTGTTTCTCGGTCAGGTGCATGAAAATCATCTCCCATATTTTCCCTCCATCATTAATGGCGAGATGCTGAACAATATATTTCACCCATTGTAAGTCAAAACATCTCACTGTATCTCTCCACTCACCCGCAGAGCAGACAGGTCGATCTCATCCAGACTCCTCGCAGGAGAGTCACTCGCCATGATTATCTGTTATATTCAACAATACAACGCCCGCAATAACATGAATACAGACGCCGAACTGATCCGTGTAATACACCAAACAGGCTGGATTGACTTCAGTCGGAGCAGATGAAGCTCCCGGATAGTGCTTAGCCGCTGTTCTTCGCGATACCGGGTTTATAAAACCGAATTAGCCGCTATAGGACTGTATGTGAAGGAGACATCTCGTGCTTGTACCGATGATCTGCTGCCGCACGAGTCCAAATCACCAGCGCCAATGGACGTGTGAACCAGGGCTCCGGCGGAAGGCGTGTCAATCACCGCGTTTCTAGGGCGTGGCCTCTGAGTGAAAGGCGGGGCCAAATTCAAACAAACAATGTATACAATAGCATATATATATATATATATATATATATATATATATATATATATATATATATATAAAAAAACAGACATAAGGGTCTATTTTTT